TTTTTACATTTCCCAGAAAGTTTCTGATGCGTAACAAACTGCAATGCATGGTAGGTATCTGCATGCACAACTTGTACCAGGTGAGTCATTTAGACCAATTTCTATAGTTTCGAAAGTAATAAAAATATTTGAAAAGTTATTAAGAAAAAGAATTGATCAATTTATTGCTAAATAATATAACATTTTATCCAAGCAGGAATTTGGATTCATGAAACAAACAGGTACTCAAGATTCTAAAAAATCTCTATCAAAAATTATCAGCAACATAAATAACAATAAATCAGTTTAGCTATATTTATCGATGAAAGAGAAGCGTTTGATGTCACCGAACACCAGCTGCTAATAGATTCCTCAGATCGAAGTAGTATCAGAGGTAATACACAAAAAATTTGCAAAATTACATGATGAATTGAATACAATGTGTCAAAATAGGTGTTATATAATATATTAGTCAAGAAATTATAATGGCTCCCGGTGTTCCTCAAGGGACAATTCTCAACCACTCCTATTCAACCTATATACATATAAATGATTTGTTTAATTTACACACCAAAGGTACCATTTTAGCTTTTGCTGATGACAGAACTGTAATATATGAAGCCGAAAATTGCATAGACGTAAACATAATCACTGAAGACGATTTCACACATATAATTGACTGGTACAACAAAACATATTACATACCTTTTATAACCACACACAGCAAGAAGAAGCAGTAGTTGATTGCTCATCTGGCTTTTCGTTAGAGTTCACAAAACCCGTTTTTAACCAACTATCCGTCTTAAATTCACATAATATTATTATATTTTTTAATTTCACGTTCGACATGGGTACGGCTCAAGACGCGCGTTCGACTGTGCCCGTACCTCCGTGACTGCGACTTTTTCATATCTTATTTTCGTTCTTTCCAGTGCATTCTCAGAAAGGTCTCGGTGAGCTCGATTCGCCGAATTAGAACTCTTGCCAGATTGTTGTGGCGGCGGTGTTGCAATATTGAGGACAAATTCAGCCATTACCATAATTTTTTCGCAAACCCCCTCCTTATAGCCCGCGAACACGTAGGGGTCCGCGAACCACCGCTTGAGAAACCCTGTCCTAGAGACAGTACAGATAGGTTCAATATAAGGATATACTTTCGTTGAAAAATCCCGTCTCCACTATCGGATGTAAACAACTTCCGAAGTTGTTGCAGCCGGCGAGACCACCATGTATCAATGCAAATTGGCAGTCTTAGTTGAACAGAGACGTAATGTAGGAGGATTTTGGAGCGAATTTGAGTACCAACATCGTATTTATAGCCTACCGCCATTAATAATTGAAGGACATTTCTTGTCGTCTGTTATATAATAATAATATTTATTGCCCTCATCAAACAGTATATACAAAGTTTACAAACAAAAAGAAGCCTTAAGCGGATAAAGGGCTACCTCAGCTTGCCCCTTAAAGAAGCAAACAAATTTAAACAATTCTATAGTAGGACAAATGGCTATTAAGACATTGATAATTAATAATGTTTCAAACTTAAGAAATATAGCGAAGTATAGTAAGTAGAGGAATGGAAATTTAGAGTGAGAAGAGAAAGTGAGGGGAAAGGGAAGAAGAGAAAAGGGGGAGCAGGAGATGTGTTTTCTATGATATCTGAGACAGTAAATCAGTTTTAAGGTTCCTCTTAAATGAAGCTACCGAGAGAGAAAAATCTTTAATTTTGAATTTATTTACCAAAAGGGCAATTTGATATGAGAATGATTTCTTAAATGATTCTTTATTGTGTGTGTGATGGTATTGTAATCTAATTCAATCTTCTAATGTTTAGATTATGTACATCAGTCCGGTAACTAATTTTTAAGTGAAGATAAGGAGGGCTTTTATATTTTATAATCTTGTAAAAAAGGAAGTAGGGTGCAAGGTACGCCTCTGAGCATTATTCAACCTTCCCAGTTCAGGTAGTTTGTGGGATACTCAATGTCTACCCCTTATGCCAAATATCAGTCTCAGACAAGAATTCTGAGCTTTTTGAATCCGTTTTAGTTCTACACTATTAGTAGTTTGTGGGATACTCAATGTCTACCCCTTATGCCAAATATCAGTCTCAGACAAGAATTCTGAGCTTTTTGAATCCGTTTTAGTTCTACACTATCAAGAAATGGTCCATATACCATATCAGCAAAGTTGAAGTAGGACAACACTAAAGCTTCGCAGAGCTTGGCTTTAGTATTTTGTGATAGGTAATGTCTATGCGGCTATATTTATTTTTAACATTGAATATGCTTTCCTTAGGCACAAAGTAATGTGCTCTCTAAACTCAAGTTTAGAGTCAACCACTAAGCCCAAATCCTTCACGGAATCCCTAAATGGTATTATATTGTCACCTAGTTTGAGCTTAATATTATTTTCTAATACGTTTCTACAGAAATCACTACAAAACAATATAGCCGTTGATTTACTAGGGTTTATCTGTAACAAATGATCTTCAGAGGTTTTGAGAAGGCTATTCAAGTCGGTATTCAGTCGGTTTGTTATAAATTCTGACAGATCAGGTTTAAAACAGGCATACATTTGAGTATCGTCAGTATAAAGATGATATTGACAATAACTCGGCGACTTCATGAAATTAAAAGTATATAGGCTATACAATAATTGACCCAAAATACTGCCCTGAGGCACCCCTGATGTAATTGTAACTGCATCTGATATGTTCCCGTCCAAAGTCACGCGCTGCATCCTTTCAGACAAAAAAGAATTTATTAATGCATAGTCCGGCTGCTTTAATCCAATATATTTCAAAATAGCCACTAGTATCTCATGATTAATCATGTCAAATGCTTTCGTGTAGTCCAATAACACCAAGACAGTAGCATTGCCCGCATCCTGTTCTCTGATGACATCATCTACAAGATCTGTTAATGCTGTGGAACAACTGTACCCGGTTCTAAACCCTGACTGTCTAGGGTGGATGATATTGTTGGCAAAAACGTAGTTAGCAACTTGTATAGCGAATGCCTTTTCTAAAATTTTAGAAAGGGTCGGTAAAAGCGAGATTGAACGTACTTGACCAAATTCTGTCGGGTTGTTAACCTTAGCTAATGGAAGAACGTTGGCCAGATTCCAGCTTTTAGGAAAATAAGACCTTTCAATACAACTATTTATAATATGGGTAATATAAGGAGCTATAGAAGGGCAACACAAGGAAATCAGGGTAACGTTCAGGCTATCAGCGCCAAAAACCTTCGTCTTGATTCTGAGGATACTATTTAAAACAAAATCTTTGTCGATTAAATTAAATGAGAAGGTTTCATTAAGCAAGTAGTTGTTGTTATAGAAATGCAACAATTCTTGTTTTGGAGTAATATTTTGTGATATTTGGGTAAAGTAGGTAATACGTTCATTAACATTCCTTAAATGGTCAGGAATGTATTTATTTTCATTTCTAAGTATATTTAGTTTTTTTAGTTCAGCCCATTTTTCGTTTTCTGAGCAATTCTGAAACTTTAAATTTAGATATGCTTTTTTTTGGCTCTAATAGCAGAAGTGGTCAGGTTTCTTAATTGTTTATAATAGTCTCCATGACTAGGTTGGTGCGTTCATCTAAAACGAGAACGAGCTTGATTTCGAAGCCTTTTCATAAACTTAATGTTATCTGTGATCCATGGACTGTATGGTCTTTTTCGAACATTGCAGTATTTTAGGGGTGCATGGGAATAAAAAATATTCAATATAGTGTCTGTTAAAAATGATACCTTATGATCGATGTCATCTATTTGATATATGTTATCCCAAGGCGCCGATTCAATGTCAGTCTGAAACAGAGCTAGATTTATTCGATGTAAAGCCCTAAATTTATAACAAAGATTAAGCGGCTCGATAGCTGTTATACGCAAATATACATAAACAAGAAGGTGATCTGAAACATTGGGATCCCGAACGCCCACATCCTCCACTATCTCGGGATTACAGCATACTAAATCAATCAAAGTAGAATTAGTGTTTGATATTCGTGTTGGCTCAGACACCTCTTGATTTTATGAAAAGGTATTTAAAATATCATTTAATTGGGTGACATTTGAAGAATCGATATCCAATACATTTATGTTGAAATCGCCCAAACATACGGTTTGGTTACACTCAGTACTGAGGTCAATCAAAATGTCTTCTAAATAATTTAGAAACTCCCTACAGTTAGAGCTAGGTGGTCTGTAAATAATGCCAACTATGAATATTTTTCAAGCTGAATTTTAACCCAAATATGCTCAACTATGTCCTTGCACTCACTCTTCAATACATTAAATTTTAGGTTAGATTTTAGATATAGTCAAAATCACGAAATATGACTATTACGTCATACCATAAATTGTACTGAAGTAATCAATGGACGTACGTCGATGATAAAATCATGAGTCAGAAACATAATGACAACAAATTTATATTATGATTTTGCGAAGTTGAGTTATTTCACTGATTATTTTTATTTTCATTTTATTTCATGGTTTTGAGTGATACCTTAATAATAATTTTAGTGGGGAGTTTTTGTTTTGAAAAAACAGTTATGAGTAAAATACCTTAAGATAGGAACACCCGAGACCAAAGTATTATTCGAAAACAACATAACCTGCTTTCACATAACCTAACTATTCATCTTTCAAATATGATCGATCATGCAACATGAAAACATCGTCTATCTTTGTCGGATACATGCAAATTAGCAATACAGTTTATTTACACAATGAAATTCTGTTTGTCTCTGTCTAACATATCAGAAACTTCATTAGATATATTCACAAATCGCTGTCGTTTGTCTTTACTACAGACTAAAATGATTACGTAATCGTCATCTTTCTTGATTTCGACTATACCTGTATATCCTGTCAAGAATGAAACGCCCGGGATCAATAATGATGTACTCTATTTTCCTCTCCAAAATATTCTGCCCCAATACCTCGCACATCGGGCATGAAAAAAACCACGCTCTTCTCTTCTTCAGCGTTCTCCTTTCCCCGCGCCTCTCTCGTCCGACACCTCCACCCGCATTCCTTGTCCCTTGGCTACACGGTAGTACCAGTGGCGCATCAAGAATGTATGTCTAGTTTGAAGATTCATCACATTCGGCCATCCTGCTGCTGTGTCTGTCCTCAGACCCAGAAAAATCAGCATCTATAAATAAACGATCAATCTAATTTATGATGTTGATGCTAAGTTGCATTACAGTAAGGCTTAGCGTGCTGAACTTTGAATGGTTATTCGAATTGATCAACCATCCCAACAGACACTGAAACGTATTAATTTTACACTGTTATGTTTGAGCTTTCACTTGAGCCTAACTTTAGCTGTTTTTCAACTTATCCTTGATTAGCATTTTGACCTACAATTTATAGTCTCTTTTATTAATTTATAACAAAATATAATTAAAACTCTAATTATATTAATTTAACGGACAACAAAACGTCCCTAAGTAATTCTGTTGTATGAGCCTTCCTTCATCAAATTATGTTGTTGTTTGAGCTTACTCTATCTTAACAGACAACGAGACATCACGAAGCCATTCTATTGTTTAAGCCTACTATATCTCAACAGACAACAAAATATCATAAAACCGTTTTATTGTTTGAGCCTACTTATCTCAACAGACAACAAAACATCATAAACTGCTTTTATTGTTTGAGCCTACTTATCTCAACAGACAACAAAATATCATAAAACCGATTTATTGTTTTAGCCTACTTATCTCAACAGACAACAAAACATCATAAACTGCTTTTATTGTTTGAGCCTACTCATCTCAACAGACAACCAAAACATCATAAACTGCTTTTATTGTTTGAGCCTACTCATCTCAACAGACAACAAAATATCATAAAACCGTTTTATTGTTTGAGCCTACTTATCCCAACATTCAACAAAACATCATAAAACTGCTTTTATTGTTTGAGCCTACTCATCTCAACAGACAACCAAAACATCATAAACTGTTTTTATTGTTTCAACAGATATTAAAGCAGATAAACTTCAATATTTGGACCCTCTTTAAGCAATATAACATTTTATACCTACCACGTAGTAAGATCCATGGTTTCATCTTATCTGTAGCAACTACAGTCTTGTATCTCTTGTAGTTTTCTCTCAGGTCAACCACCTCGTATCGACCGTTATAGAGAACCTTCGTCACTTTAAAAGGTCCCTTATATTTCGGCACCAATTTTCTGCTGGCACCAGTACACGGTGCATCCGTCTTCAACACCATGACGACATCATCCACTAGATACTTTTAAGCTTGTATCCTCGTCTTGTCAAACCTCTCTTTCTGCTTTTTCTGCTCTACAGACAATCTGTGTTCAACAGATTTCCTAAGTGCCCTCAAGTCTCACCGCTCTACCTCTCGTTTCACTGCACTCAAAACATTGCCTTCGGATAGGCTATGTACCTTGAATCCAGCCAATAACTCCATTGCAGTCATTCCAATTGCAGCATTAAAAGTTGTGTTCATCGCATATTGCACCGGTTTGACAAACGTATCCCATTTGTTTTCAGCAACGCCTGCCGATGCAGCTGTTTTCTTTTTAACAAGACTAGCATATTGAGAGCTAGATTCACGTACGATACCATTAATGAGTAACTCTTGCAACAAATCATTTAAAATATTTTTTTCTTGAATTGACATGTGATATGGGTTATAAATGACTGGTTCCTCCGTTTTACATTTAATACTCATTTCTACTAAATTGGTTTTTCGAAATCCTTTAAAGTAAATGCGATCGTGTCAATATACTCTTTTAAAAGACTATAAACGTTGTCCTTTTCTCCCTGAGAAATATTACCAAAATTTATTTTATCATACTCAATTATCTTCGTAGTACCCTGTATATCGCTCACGGTAGAAACATTTTTAAAACGCAAGGTGTCGCCGGCTTTATGCATGACAACATGTGGCTGATTTAAATAATCGCAACCAATAATCACATCATAAGTATTTATCCGCCAAAACGAACGCATTTACTTCGCCGGTTGATTTGTCGACATTTACATTGATTTTGCTGATTGCGTTGCAAGATATCACATTACCCATGAAACATCGTAGTCCTACACACTCATTTGTTCTAGTTAGCCGCATCTTTAAACGTTTTGCTAAAGACTCTTTAATTATTGTGCAAGAACTACCTGTGGCAATTAAACAATTTTCAACTGGACTTTGGTTTATATAAGCAGTAACTAAAGACATATTATTCTTTCTGTTCATAAATACAGACTTCGTAATCTGATTACATTCATTTTTCTTGCTTAGACTACACCGCTCTGAATAATGGCCAACCTTTTTACAATTTTTACACGTTATTATAGGCTTAGGATAATTTTTTACAATATGTGGACCTTTGCAATTATAACACGATAGTACTCTGCGTTTACTGCCATCCTTTCCTTCCAATTTTATCACCTCTTGATTAACTTTTGACGTGCCTGGAGTCGGTTTAGCAGCAATATGTTTTTGCCCATTTATATCTATAATACTATCTAAATAGTTAGCCAACGTACCTACCGATTGAAAATTCGCAGCTCTAGCTGCTAGCTTTATATTTTCATTGTTTATCCCTTCAATTACACTGATCAACAGCCAAAAAATATCCTAAATAAAATCAACAAAATATTACTATTTTTAATGTGCTAAAACCGGAATGAAACTTATTTTTTCAATATTAGTTCAAGTTTTAGAGATACGGTAATTATATGTGTTCCTGCTGTGACAGTGTTAATATACTGTAATTCACAAGAATGCACGTGCTACATTTTTATATTCGGCAAGGAATCGGCATGATTGTGTTATGTTATACATACGTGTACATTATATTGTTTTATATTAGCCATTTTTTCCTCAATTGGCTGACAGCGTTCATGCAAGATGTCTCGAAAGTCTGTAAACAATCCAGATCAGTTTTGTTACGTGTGTGGTGATGTGACTTTTGCAAACAAAGGCATATCAGCTTTATTTCGGTTGTAAACTAGGTGATCAAGAAAAACAGTGGGCACCCCACATCTGCTGTAATACATGTGCTTCAAGTCTGAGGAGCTGGTTAAATGGCAAAAAACGGCCTATGCGCTTTGCTGTCCCAATGGTTTGGAGAGAGCCTACAAATTATATTAATGATTGTTACTTTTGCATGGTACCTTGTGTTGGACAAGCCACAGGTATGTCCAAGAAAAAAAAATCGGTTATTAACTACCCAAACATACCATCTGCGATGAGACCTGTGCCTCACAGTGACGAAAATCCTATTCCAAAACCCCCAGAATCCTACACTTGCTAATTAGAAAACGAATCAGATCATGGCGATCGAGTGATTCGTCAGGAAGAAGATATGCCATCAACGTCAAGAGATCCTGATTTTATACCGAGCACGTCATGCCACCAACCGCACAAAATAACACAGTCAGAATTAAATGATCTTGTAAGAGATTTAGAACTTCCAAAATGTGAGGTAGAGTTACTTGGATCAAGACTGCAGCAGTGGAACTTGTTAGAAGACGATGTTTCGGTATGTGTTTTTCGTAAACGCCACAAAGACTTAGAACCATTTTTCAATATGGGGAATAACTTGGTTTTCTGCAGTAACATTAATGGCTTACTGGCGGCTTTAAATATAAACTATAACCCAGAAGAATGGAGATTGTTTATAGACAGTTCAACATTGAGTTTAAAGGCAGTGTTATTGCATATTGGAAATATTTTACCATCTCTTCCTGTAGGGTATGCAGTTCACATGAAAGAATCACATGACAATATGAAGTACCTATTGACATGCATAAAATACGATGAGCATCAATGGCATATTTGTGGCCATTTTAAAGTTGTTGCACTTTTACTTGGGCTGCAGCTAGGCTACACAAAGTTTTGCTGTTTTTTGTGTGAATGGGACAGTCGGGCAAAGGCACTTCATTACACCAGACAAAACTGGCCTGTTCGTCAATTCCTAGAGCCAGGTCAAAAAAATGTACAGCATATGCCATTAGTAGATTCGAAAAATTTTTTATTACCACCACTGCATATCAAGTTGGGCCTAATGAAAAACTTTGTCAAGGCATTAGATAGAGATGGGTCAGCTTTTCAATACCTGCGTCAGAAATTTCCAAGACTAAGTGAGGCAAAGGTTAAAGAAGGTATTTTTGTTGGGCCACATTCGAAATATTTTGAAAGATACACAGTTTGAAAACACTTTAACAGGTATTGAAAAAGCTGCTTGGAATGATTTCCGTCTGGTGGTCACTAATTTCTTGGGAAATAGAAAAGCTGACAACTATAAAACCCTTGTCAAAAATATGCTGTCATCGTATCAAAAGATGGGCTGTAATATGTCTCTTAAGATACATTTCCTACACTCACACCTGGACTTTTTTCCTGACAATTGCGGAGCCGTAAGTGATGAGCACGGCGAACGTTCTCATCAGGATATTTCAACAATGGAAAAAAGGTACCAGGGAAAGTGGAATCCTTCCATGCTTGCAGACTA